GGTTTTACATCTCATCCGAAGGATGGCACCTGTTTACAGTATAGTGTCCCCGTCACTACACTGGGACATTAGGACCCACATGGACCGCAGGGTGAGCGCCCCCTGCTGGCCCCACTAAAAACTCTTCCAGCAGCAGCCTTAGTTTTTCCCAGGAGTCTCCCATCCAGGTACTGACCAGGCTCACACCTGCTTAGCTTCAGTGGGTTGCCAGGTGTGAGTTGCAGGGTGACATGGCTCTAACCTCAAGTGCCAAATAACTCACACAATTTCTTCTTTGTCATTATTTATTACAGGCAACACAATTCTCCTGCAAAGCCACACGGAAACATTTAGCCATGACTGTCCCGACCAGCGCTTCCATGGTGTTTATGACATCAAGGCCAACTTCATGAAGTTGCCCTAAGGTTCAATTGCCAGGGTGCTGTCTGTGTGGAGTTTGCATGTTCTCCCTGTGTCCGCATGGTTTTCCTCCAGGTGCTCCGGTTTAGAATTTGAACTTGAACTTTATTGCCATATTTCCGCCTGCAGTCCAGACCTGCTGGTGGGTTAACTGGCTTCTGGGAAAACTGGCCCTGTATCGGTGTCTGCCATTGCTTGCGGAGACAGGCTCCGGCTCCTGGATGATTCCGTTAGAGGATGGATGGGCGAGTTAGTGCACAACTGTGAAAACTTTCCAATTCAAAAACAATATGGAAGACCTTCTTATGAACAAATCCAAATATTTTCAGATATTACTGGTCCGTAAATGTGATACGGTAACGTTTCCAGTACTGTTTTGGGTCAACATAACACATAGTGATCCTAACAAAACATGTTATCCTAGACCTAGTACAGTTTTATGAATTTGCTTTTCTAAACAGGGCTCGTAATTATATATAACCGGTCCATACTGTACGGGTAAACCTGCAGCAGTCTTTGTACAAAGCAGGTTCTTTATAATTCTTAATGACCCGGCATCCTTTTTAAAGGTCTGCTGCTTTCACGGGCCGGAAACGCCTCTTGACGATCGCTTTACCGAACGCCAATGACGCCAATGACACTCGCTGCCGAGCACCGAGGCTTCTCGTAAACAAAAACTGGGACGAAATCGAGTTTCGATTTCTAAGAACATTATTGTCTTTTCACTCATGAAGACAAAGAGTCGCAAAAAAGAAAACTTGATATTAAAAAAATATATATACACCCAAAACAGTATATGTTCAGATGTGGTAGCTGCGTCGGCATGCGTAGGCTGCAGAGGAACGAGTAATAGGTTTATTCCTGTGCTGAAGAGAGAAGAAAGAAAACAACGTTTCAGGAAAACAGTGTATGTGCACACATCTCGTTAAGGTTAAAAAAAAGCAGCAGTTACAGAACAATAATTAGATTTAGACACCTAAAGAAGGCTTCCACGAAATCACGAAGCACACTTGCAGTTTTCAGCCTTGATTAAGGACCCTTCGTGTCACG